CCCCGTCCCCTCTGCAGGACTCTCCCGTGGTCCTGCCCTGCCTCGATTTCTTGTTCCTAGGAACACGACCGCGGAGCACAAGCGCACGTTACGTTGCCGCCCGTCCAAGGGCGCTCAGCTTTAGGTCCGCTTCCCCGCGGAGCACAAGCGCACGTTACGTTGCCGCCCGTCCAAGGGCGCTCAACTCTAGATCCGCTTCCCCTCGTGAGGGCTATAACCGCTTCCCCTCGTGGGGCTCTTTTTTTCTCCGCGTCCTGTCCTGCCTCTAGGAGGGAACCCTCCTGCGAGACGCTCTCAGGCAAAGGCGCCAGGATGGGAGGCACCAGATCGTCGGAAATGAAATGCAGGGCCCCCGAAGGCGCGACCCTGGGTCGTTTCCTCCTCCTCCTCCTCCTCCTCCTCCTCCTCCTCCTTCTCCATCTCCTCCTCCAGGGCCGGCTTTTTTTCGTCCTGGACCGTTTCTTTCGAAGCACCCCTGGGGCCCGGCGAGGGCACCCAAGGAGGCCGCAGATCATGTGAAAAGCCTCCCTTCGGCACTGATTTCTCAAGCCGCTGGGGTCTGGGGAGGAACCGACGAGACCTCCCCAAAGTTTCGAGCCCAGACATGCTGGCGTCATGCAAAAACACAGGACGGGAAGTTTTGGCCATTGGAGGCCATGGGGGCCTTCGCCGGGCCCCGTGGGCTGTCAAAAGTGACTCAGGATGAAAAGCCGGTCCCAGGGAAAGGGTCGGAACATCCGGGGACGCGGTACTGAACACATCAGGACGTCGCATGTCTGGATTCCCAAAAGCTTCAAGCCAATATATACTCGTCGGAGATCTGGCTGGGGCCACGGTGCGATTGTGCGCGAATGAATGGAGGGGCGATGGATGGGATGGGGGGAGAAACGTGCCCTTTTCGGATTCTAAAAGCACTCTTCTGGGCCCGAGAAGCCCTCTTCTGGGTCAGAGAGGGCCTCCTCAGGGGCCCACGGGCCCCTTGTCTGCAACCCTCGCTGCCCTCCCATCCATCGCCCCCTCCCATGACGCGACCCCCAACGCGAAGTAACGACCTGGCTCCTGGGTCGCGACTCGGACTTCTGGTGGACGCTCGGGACGATCTGGGCACCCCCGCATAGCACCCGGCGAGGCGCAGCTGCTGGAACGAGTCCCTGAGCTGAGGTTGTGAAGGACGCGTCCGCTACAGGACCTAACAAGCAAGAAAAAAAGAAAACACTGAAAAAACACTAAAAGGTGTTTTTTCCAGCTCTTAAAAAAAAACACTGCTTTTTCACATCATGTTTAATTCAAAATCACTCATATCCAACTCCCGCGCCGCACTCGCGCTCTGTCATAATGCTTTTCAATTGATCACTAGCGCGGGAGGGCATGGGCCCCACCATCTACAATGACTCATAATTCACAACACTCCCCTTTTCCCCCCCTAGTCAACGCACAACGGCAATCCAGCCGCATCCGCGCGTTGCTTTGTCACGCGCGCGCCTGGCTAAAAAACGATACTCGGATGGTGCTCTCGCCTCTGCGCCTACTGCACATTAGCCTCCCATTCTACAATCATTCGCTATGGATGCTGATCTCCTGTCTCCCCGAAAACGTCGGCTGTTCGACATTTGGGGGAGACGGAGGGCCGAGGGGGGAGGGGAAGGCGGGGGGGGAGGGAGGGCGGGTGAATGGAAACGGGGAAGGGAGGGGGGAGGAGGGGCCATAATGAAGCGGAGGGTCTGCTGGCACATCATGAAGCGAAGACGGGGGTGAGGGTTGGTGTCGGGGTGGGGCTAGACTCAAAATCGAGATTGGGCTTAACCTTAGGGGGGTGGCGCGGTGGGGAGGGGACGGGGGGGAGGAGTTGGGGGAAGGCAAGTTGTGAGGAATCATGTTTAAGCCTACGGGCTTAGCCTAGGGCCCAAGAGGGGCCGAATGGCTGGTTCCATGACTTCAGGAAGGGAGGCGCACTGATCTAAATTAAGCACCATGGCGAGGCCAAATTACTTATGCCAGGCAAAGTTGGAGTTAAGTTTTAATCTGACCAGGGGTTTCACACTGGAGGGGTGTGCGGAGGGGTGGGAGGTTCAAAGTTAAGCTCAAAAAGCGTAGGGGGGCGGGGGGGGGGCCCGTCCTTCCCCCGCTCCCCTTTTCCGCCCCAATCCTCCTCCACTATTCGCGGGGGGCGGGCGGCCACGGCCGATAGGCCTACGAATAGTGGCGACAAGGTTGCAACGGACTCTGGGTTGCAACAGGCTCTGGTTTGCAGCCAGACTCTGGCTCTGGGTTGCAGCCAGGGGCCCACGCATGGGCCGAATACCCGACGCAACAACAGAAGCATCAAGAAGAGTAGCCAGGGGGGAGGTGGAGGGTCGGCCCTGGCGCCGAGTCCGAGGCCAGAGCGGCCTTACTGGAAGGCCAGCGCCTTCTCGCACCGCCCCCTCAGGAGCGCGTGCGCCCTCTCGAAGCCGCCGACGTCGGCGAACTTCTCCTTGAGCTTCACCATGTCGGCCTGGAGCTGCTTCTTGCCCGAGGCCGTCTTGAGCAGGTGCATCGCCCTGCCCTCCAACTCTACAACTTCCACGTTGTTCTGCACCCGCTGCACCTGCTGGATGATGTCGTCGTGCAGGCGGTGGCCGACGGCCTCCGCGTATTGCACGTAGGCGCCGCGGTCCTTGAAGGCGGACGCAAAATTGCCCCTTCCCTCCCAGGTGTCCCGGGGAGGGAAAAGGGGGAGGTAGGCAGGAGGGGTAGGTAGGTAGGAGGGGGAAGGTAGGAGAGGGAGGGAGTCCTGCTCTAAGGAGTCGACGCGGCTCTTGACATCCTTGATGTTGAAATTCTGGACGCTCAGCCTGTCGTTGGCGAGGTCCTGCAAGGCCTTCAGGGCGGCGCCGTCAGGGAGGTCGGCGTACCAAGGCTTGCCGTCCTGGCCGCCCTGCGAGCACGGCTCGATCTCATCGGCCGCCTCTTTGAGCTTCTTCTCGTCGTAACCGACCACGACCATCACGCTGTCCGAAATCCTCTGCTGCATATTCTTGAACTGGTCGGCGAAAGCCAAGTGCTCGCACTTGCAGGCCAGGTCGTCGCAGAAGTCATTGAAGACACCCACCGCCTTCGCCATCGCATTTGCCTTGCCGACGGCGCCTCTCGTGCACGACCTCGCGCGCGAGACGTCCTGGAGCGCGCCGCCAACGTTGGGCATCTCGGAGACGAGGTCCTTGAACCGATCGAAGAAGCCCACCGCAGCACGGCGCATGACGGCGGCAGATTTGATCACCTTGGCGTCCTGGTTGCTTGAGGAGACCACCGCCAGGGCAGAAAGGGCATCACCCAGCGCAGCATCCCCTCCAATCTGGTTGCAATAGGCCTTGAAAGCGTGCTTGGTGATGGTGCTGGCACACTTGATGACATATGCGTTCACCTCCTCGGGGAGCTTGATGCCCGCCATGTTGTTGCAAGCCGACACCAGCTTCAAATAGGGGGCATCGTCTGCAATCACTCCGTCTTCTGCCAACGGCAAGGTGTCAATATCATTGAAGGCTTGTTTCAAGACATCGATGCGGGCCTTAGAATTCGAAGCTGCGATCACATAGTCTATCTTGGTTGCCATCGTCTGTACATCGTCGTCCATCACGTACACCTTAGTCGCGAGGGTCACGGACTCGCGGATGCTCGCAAGGTGGTCGGCGGAAACAACGTCTGTAGAGAACTCGTTGTGGGACAGCCCCTGGACTACTGCCCCAAGCACCTTCTTGGCTTTCTCGCAGGCCTCGTCCATGACACCAGGGCGCATCACCGCTTTCCAAAGGGGGGCCTTATCCATGAAGAGCTGCAGGTGGCGGGCCACGTCAGAGAATTTCGAGGCGAGTCCGTCGACACCGAGGTTTACGTACGCCCCAAACTCATCAGACAGGTTGTTTGCCTCATCCGTGTGCTTCTTGTCCTTGGCGTCGTAGTACCGCAACTCCTCGGCTTTCTTCTGGTAGAACGGCGCCGTCAGCAACGCCGCGCTGACGAACATGCCAATGCTCTGCGGCTCATTCTGCCTGGAAGGTGACTCAGGAGGCGCGCGCTGCTCCAACTCATTCAACACCACCACTTGTTCAGCGAGGTCGTCGTCACGCTGAGGCAGGAGAAGGCTGTGAAGCGCCCTCAGACTCAATGTCAGTTCGTAGAAGTCGCTGCTGAAGTCCGCGGGCACTCTGCCATCTTTCAGGTCTTGTTCCACCAGCGGCAACACTTGTTGTACCAACTCTTTGGCAACATCTTCGTACGCAGCGTCCTTGAGCACGATGCCACTCACGAAGTCCTTGCAGAAGGTCGCCTTGAACTCTCCAAGCTTCGTGGGGTCGCCGACCTCCATCTCAATCAACTTGGGATCCAAAGGGTCGAACGAAGTAATGGATATGTCATCGTGCACCGCGTACGGCCTGCAAGCGACGAACGCTTCAGCCATGCTGTTGCCTCCCCCACGCGTCTGCAGCGCTTTATCAAAGACCTCGCGCAAGGACACGTTGGTGAGCGCTATCTGCATCACTTCGGGGATTGGCACCTTGGCGTGCTTGAGCCGACGCAGGTTCTCCTTGAGCTCGCTGGGGTCCAAAGTTGCAAGCTTCGACACCTTCGTCTGATGGGCGACGTGCACCAATGCCACGTGCACGTTCAGCACGCCGAAGTCTCCAGCATGCTGTGGCATGTTGCGCAATCTCGAAAGTAATTGATCCCCCTGGACCCTTGCGCACCCCAAGGGTTGATCGGCCAAGATGTCTGTCAAATTGTTCTTCTCCTTCCAGTACTGCACCTTCCCAGCGATGTCTCTTGGGCAGGACTCGTGACCAGGGGCCGCCGTCTGGCCGCTCACTGAAGGGGCGCAGGGCGGCGGCGCCGAGGAGCAGCCTCCGGTTGCAACAGTATGCGATGCAAGGGCCGCGGCTGTCAGCCCAGGTCCAGGTGGAGGAGAAGCCGAAGTTGGTCGACCACTCTGTGCTGCGCGGTGCCACGTCGCAGGAGGAGGGCCGCTAGCTGGCGACCTCGAAGCCAATGGTGAACTGCGGGGGGGCCCCATAGGCGAATCCACGCTCGCCCCAGCGCTGAAGCCAGCATCTGGAACCCCTGGCGATTGCGAATTCGCTTTCGCCTTCGCCTTCGCCCCCTTCTTCCCTGCCCTGTCCATCACGACGCTGATGGCCTGGAAGCTGGAGGCGCTGCGGTCCTGGAAGATCTCCTCGTCGACGTTCGTGACATTCTTCTCGCACAGCATCTCCGCCATCATCTCGACGGTGTGGCCCTCGGGCAGCAAGTTGTGCTTCAGGATCTTGATGGCCTTCCCGACCTCAAGCCGCACCCTGCGGTAGTCTCTTGTCAGGTCACCCCCCCAGTCATCACGCAGCAGGAAGAGCGGCTCAGGCTTGCCAGTGTCATTCCACATGATGCACGCGTCTAACTTCAAGAAGGTGGGGGTGCAGCCTGTAAGATCCTTGACCTCTTTCGCGTTCAACCCCAACACCTCCCGAAATATAACAATGTTCCTATACTTCTCCTCGTTGACCCCTGCCACGGGGAAGCCACGATCAACGGGGTCCAAGTTCTGCACCTCGTGTACCTTCTTGATCCCCTCCTTGAGCGAGGCGCTCTCCCGAATCATGTGAGCTGCATCATCTGACGAACTGACGACCTTGCCCAAAGCCGACCGCACCTTCCCGTCGCAAGGGTTGCAGAAAGAGCCGACTGGGTTACCCGACTCATCTGTCGCCCACTGGACCTCCTGGGGCTGAAAGAAAGTGGAACGAAAGACTACGTGTCCGCTACCATTAAATGTCCGACTCACGTTTTCCCCGAACTAACCCAGCCCACCCCCGCCAGGTCAACCAGACAAGTACGAGCCAGATTTGGCCCAAAATGCGGTCTCATGATCGTTCCAGTATACATTGGGGAAAACTGCAAGGGGCAATCGTCGGATATCCAATGGCAGGGGCCTCATCCAAGAATGCGACACGGAGTAATAGCCGAGTAGTCCCACCAACTCTTCTGGGCTTGTTTACGGAGCTCATTATTACAACCTGTTTCACCTTTCGAAGAGGGGTCTACCCCTCCCGCTACCCCCTATCCCTTGGCGTGGCCGCGGGCGGGAGGGTTGGGCGCGCGTGCGTGGGGGGGTGGTAGAGCGACCCAGATGGCCCAAGAGGGCCCGAGGAGGGCTCCAGGTCGCCCAAGATGATTTCCAAGATGGCTCAAGACAATGGTTCAACCTGGCCTCCAACATGCCTCCAAGAGGCCACTCCCCAGAGAGGCCCGAACCATATCAACGCCTAGAGGACCCCGAGAGCCCCCTCCCAAAAACACAAGTCCGCCTGACAAGTGTGCTTGTCACGAAGCCCTGGAGATCCTGCATGCTCTCTCGCCTGGTTTCCCTCTGTGGTGCTCCTCTCTCTCTCTCTCTCACTCTCTCGCTCTCGTCTCTCTCTCTCTCTCTCTCTCTCTCTCTCTCTCTCTCTATCGCTCTTGTTCGTTCTCTCTCTCTCTCTCTCACTCGTCCCCCTCCATTTGCCACATCTCTATCTCCATCGCTCTCCACCCCTCTCTCTCTCTGCCTATCCCTATACATGCGCATCGGCTTATATGTGTATGTGCACATACATCTCTGTAGACGTCGTGCTTCATCTCTGTCTCTATCTCCCCCCTCTCTCTCTCTGCACGCGCGTAGCAATCCAACCAGGGAGCGGCACGCAGGGGAGCCCAGCGCAAGCACGCAAGAAACAATCGCTACCACCCCCCATCACCGCCCCCCTCCCCAGACCCCTTCCGCCAGCCCGATCCCTTCCGCCGCCCTGCCCCCTCCTTTTCCCCTTCCGCCTCCTCCACTTAATCCCCCCACATATTTCTGAGCGCGGGGGGCAGGCGGAAGACGGCAGAGCACGCGCAAGAGTTTCAAAGCGGCCCCCAATCCGCCGAATTCATGTCGCAGAGAACGCAAGTGTCCACGACATCACCCTGCCCAGCTGTCGGGGTCCCGCTGGCGGTGCGTTTCGTGCCTCTGCCTGCGCCGCGCCCGCGAGGCGGCCTCCTGCTTGCCATCGCTGCAAACCAGAGGACGTATGCTGCGTGTGCGTGGGGACACGCCAAAAAAAACACCTCCCTGGAAACCTCGGGCAAGAAGAGAAATGATACCGGAATGCCAGATTGTCACAACGAGCGCAGGGATGTTGGGCAAAGTTCTAGGAACGGAACAAGTGCAATGCCCTATGACTGCAGCATCTACCCCAGGGGGTACCAATGCAGGGGTTATCACCAGAAGCTTGCCTATATGAGTCCTTCCTTACTCAAGGAGAACTTGTCCATGGTCACGGGTATGGTGTCTCCTGTGGCTTTCTGGTGATGCCTACGGTTTCCTGGTGTTTCCTATGGTATCGGACTACATGCGTTTCATATGGAATCGTGGTGCGTCCTATGGTATTCCTATGGCTTCGATGTGTCCCGATGGTTTCATAAATGCATCCCCATGGGGCCCCAGTACTCTGTGATCGTTGCAGGCGTACGTGTGGATGCATGAGCAACGTGGCAAGGAGCAAGCGGCTTCTTGGATGAGCGTGGAGAAAGCCCCAAAACACACGCGCACACAACCACCACCACCACCACCACACCCACCCCACCCCACCCCACCCCACCACACACCGCGCACGCACACGCGCAAACACACGACAGAAACAAGGTGCAGCGCATGTTGAAGATACAGCACCCCCAACTCAGCCCAAATGGATGCCAATGGCTGGCGACCCGACAAAACTGTGCCACACGGGCCCCGTCAAGGAAACATGGCTTTGAGTTGATCTGGTGCGGGCAGAGTCACCTTGGGATAATGCCGCCAGAGCCCCCCCCCAAAAGGGTGTCGTGGACCAAAATCGGGAAGCTCTCCTCATGGGGCCCTCTTGGATCTGCATGGGCTATCGTGGGGCCATGGTGGGGCTTTCGTGGGTTCGAGCTCTCCCCCCCAGGGGGGGGGGGACCAAATGGGGGGGGGGATGGGGGGGGGGAGGTTCATTGTAGCGGGGGAGGGGTGGGGGGGGCGCTAGAGCCCACGCCCCCCCCCCCCCCCCCCCTTCCCCCCCATCTTCTCGGTGCGCTCGTTGAGCACCCGCATTGGGGCACGATTAAATTTCTGAGGCGGCTCCAAGCAAGCCCCGAAGAGCTCCTGGGAAGACTCCACACGCAGCCTGCTTGACGTCTTGGGGGAGGGAGGGGGCGGGGCAAGGCTGGGCAGGTTGTCGACGGCGGGGGCGGTTGCGCGGGGGAGGGAGGGGGGGGGGGGGGAAGGGGGAGATTGCGATTTGGGCGGGGTGGGGCGGAGCGGGGCGTGGGGAGGCGGGGCCCTCTTTAGCCCCGAGAAGACAGCCTCGAGACGGCACCGCAAAAAGCCGAGAGGGCCCAATAAGGCCCGAGCGGCCCCAAGAAAACGAATCAATTCCGATGCGCGGCTGCGGGGCCAAGTGGCGCGATAGCCCCTGGTCCGAGAGTTCGAGAGGAGCGCAATGAACACCATTGGTTATAGTGGGGCGCAGCTGAGTCACATGGGGCCCGACGGAGCCAATTGCACCCTAATCGAGGCCAGTGGGGCCCGACGAGGGCCAATGCAGCCCACCCAGTGGAATCCAATTACCAGAGTGAGGAGGGAATGTTGTCCAATGGATGGAGCCCGCTGTGAACGAATGGTGGCCAATGGAACTCAGTTGGCCCCAATGGAGCCCAATGTGCATTCAAACGAGGCCCATTGCCAGTCATAGGGCACAGGGCGAACAAGGGGGGAATGGATGCCAACGGATTTGAACGGGGGGGGAGGGGGGGGGTCAGCCAAGGCACTTATTCATATGTTACATTGGCGCTGGCGGATGCCGCCGTCCACCTCGGGCACCATACCGCGTAGAGGTCGGATGCCTACCTGAACGCGTTTGGAAACCCCCTCTGCGCCCGATCTGACAAATCTCGGGCTGTTGCGGGGCCTCTGGGTCAATTGCAGTTGGGTTGAATCAAACATGGATGCGAATGCAGACTTGGCCGCCCCTCCCCCCCCCCCTCTCTCTCTCCCGAGGGCGCCATTTCAGACATATGCGGGGCCACCTCGGGGCCGCCACGAAACGTGTAATGAGCCCCAGCACGCACGCGCGCACATGCACACACGCACGTAGACACACACAACCACACACACAACCACACACACACACAACCACCCACCTCCACCAACACCACCACCACCACTACAACCACCACCCGCCACCCCCGCCACCAGCAGCAGCAACACCACCACCACCACCCACCCACCCACCCACAATACACACACACGCACCACTACCGCCACCACCACCAACACCAACACCACCACCAGCACCCCCACCACCGCGCAGACACACACCAAGACTCCCCCTCACCCTCCCTCCTCACTTCTCTCGAAAATCAACCTTTTCTCATTGCCTCATGGGGCCATCTCGGGAGCGACATATGGCCCCCCGTCGGAAATAATTCGGGTGCCACATGAGACACTTCCACTGTATGCTTCCTAATGTACGATGTGCTGAGGGCCCCCTTGGGCCCCCCTGGAAGCCACCTGGGGAGGGGGCGGGGGGGGTATTGAGAGATGGGGGGGGGGGGGGGGGGGGGGGGGGGGGGGGCGGTGGCGGGGTGGGGAGCTCTGGTGATCTCGGACAGCCTGAAAAGCCCGAAGTCGTTGTTCTCTTGGTTCGTAACGTTTGTTCTTGGCAATGATATGGTTGCGGCGCTATCATTTCGCTTTGAGGCCCCCCCCCCCCCCCCCCCCCGTCCACGCCTCATCCCCATGTCACGCCGACCTCGCTCGCCCATCGCCCGACCATCGCCGCTGCTCTCCGCGTGCTCATTCGGGCGCGCCCCTCGCGCGCTTCGGTGCCACATAGGGAGCTCAGCCGAAGGCCATTGCGGCGCAATCCGCATCGCGGCGCAGATGCCATTGCAGCGCAGCCCTCTCGCGCGCATTGCGGCGCCATAAGGATATCCGCGGAAGGCCCCTGCGCCGCAGCCCGCGCGGCGGCGCGGGGGGGATGTCGGCGCTCTTGTCGCGCGCCTTGTGGCCAAAGGGGCCCCCGCCGAAGGCCCTCGCAGCGCAATCCGCACGGCGGCACCGCGCCCATTCGGCCACCTCCCCCCCTCCCACCCCCCCCCCACCACCGAAAACAAAAAAAAAAAAAAACGCACACGCCCACACACACGCGCACACACGCACACACACACACACACACACACACACACACACACCGAGCGTTCCGCAGCCCAATATAGTGGACGCCCGCCAAAGACCCCGCGGCGCAGTCCGCATGGCGGCACTGCGCGCATTTCGGCTAGCACGTCGCGCGCTTCGCGGCCCCATGGGGAACTGTGCCGAAGGCAAGCGAGGCGCGGCCCGCATGGCGGACTCTGCGCCAATGTCGGGCGCGGGGGGGTGGGGGGAAGAGCATGGGTGGGGGGGGGCGGTTGGGGGGGGGGGGGGGGGAGAGGGGGGGGGGGGTGGGGGGGGTGGGCATAATATTTGAAACCTTTCGGGCCCGCCATATTGAGGCGCCCGATGAGCTTGAATCCCGCGCGCCCCCTCATCCCCCCCCCCCCCCCCCCCCACCCCCCCATTCCCCCCCCCGCCCCCCCCCCCCCCCGCCACGCACGCGCGCGCGCACAGCACACACGCACACAAACAAACAACACACACAAACACACACACACACACACAC